TATATAACAATTTGAAAGTGGGTTTTGTTGAATGTCTTCATAGGGTCTGAGTTTAAAATTAAAAAAAAAAAGTTTTATCTAAGTGTGTTTTACTTTTGGAAACAGTAATAATACTGTATCAAATTAAGGAAAGAATTCCACAAGAAATAATGTGGAGGTGTCTTATCTTTCTAGATTATGTCAAGGCCAATGAGCCTGTATGCTCTTCCACTGCCTTCCTAATTCTAACATTTATATTCTTTGCATAGGCGTGTAGGCTTAAGAAATGGCCTTTTTCTGTGTACTTAAAAATTTAGAACTGAACGTCGTCAGCTGCTTCTTTCTCATGTGAGCTTCTTATATTCAGTTAATAAGGAAGGGATCATGTGTTTTGAAATACCAAAACCAGTAAATGATCCTGTTTTCTTGCAGTTCAGTGCTGTCCTGCTAGCATTTTTGATGTGGACCAATTTTGGAGGTTCTATATTTTTATATCCCTAACATTTAGGACTTGAGCTGTGGCAGACACTTGTTTTTTGCAATGATAAGTGCTTAATATACACACACGTACATACAAATTCTAAAACTTTGCTTTCTTTTTTTTTTTTTTTTTAGGAGACTATCTTCACTTTGACATGATGTGTGAAGTTTGTTAGCATTTTTCGTTTGGTCTTTTACAGTTATTGTGGAAGGTATGTGTAAGAAAAGTATATCTTGTTCTTTCTATGTTCATTTTTGTTAGAGCATATTGCTGTCAATGTACAGAAGCCAAATATAAAGAAATGTGTGGAATTGTGTTTTATTACAATTTCAGGCATACCTAGTGCTTTGTCAATAAGTGGAGTAATGTGTCTGTCTAAAACTTCTCAAAATAGTAGTTTCTATTTGTCTCTTCATTCTGTGTGAAGTTTTACAGGTTTTAATTCTGCCCTAAAGCTTAGTATATAAGTTTCAAGAGGGTTCTGTTTTTCTGCTGAACATCGTAGGCATTTTAGTATTGCTGCTTTGTAATTTTTTTTAGTCAACAACTAGCTTGAAGGTGCATCTTGCTGCATGATGAAAACTTTGTAGTCGTCCTTCCTTGTTAAGCTTTTTTCCTTGTTATGGAGGAACCAAGCAAACGGCTATATTAGGCACACAAGAATGTTAAACAGACACTTTGTAGTCAGATGAGAAAGTAATAGCAGCTATTACTGAAACATATAAAAAAACTTCAAGACATAAGTATGGGCTCTTTAATTAGAATTTTAAAATCTGCTTATAGGTAGAAAAGAAATGGTGCAATGTGTACTTAACACTCTGAATAACTTTCTATGTAACCTATTATCTAAGAAGTACTAGATATTCTAGCATCCTTTACTTGCCTCCTGCTGAGGGATCTTAAAGCAAGGGATTTGTACAAGCCTAGTGTAGACAAGCTGAGTACAGTATTAAGCAACTACAGAATCTGCACAATATGTGGTATATGCTTTGAAGCAGTTTCTGGCGAGAATAGAAGATCTAGGGATGCGAGCATGTGATGTAGACATGTCAAATTGATGTCTCCAGCTACCTTTCTCCCTCCTTCCTACCTGCAGCACGTAACTGGTGGCAGACTGAAGTGGTTTCCATTTCTGGTATACCTTATCACTGTTCATGTGTTGTGCTGTAGCCTGACAAGGAATGAGATTTCTTCCTTCTAGCTCCTTTGGAACTCTTTTATGCCCAGCTTCCGTTTTTGCTGTATGTTAGGCAGCGCATGAGCAATTTGTAGGCTATATATAATATAACTTAATATAATGGCTTGTAGGCCATTATAGTAGTCATAATAAAATGGAGCCAAAGTTTGTAGAGTGTAATATGTAGTATCTATTAAACCAATTCATAAAAACTGAAAATACCCTTATCGGCTTTCAAGCATGAAACCCTTTCTGTTAGCTTACTCAGGTTTAAGAATAATATCCGTATTTATTCTCTTTGAGAACAGATGTTTTCTCCTTTATTCTGTATCAAATAAAAATTGCTATTCCTTGCTGAGTCTTTCATAACTTTGCCCTTCTCTACTTACAGACTTCTGCTTTCTTTTGTCAATCCTAGTATTTTATTAGAAAAGCAGAATAATTATCCAGAACTGATGCCCACACATTGAATATATCAGCATAGATCTAGGGATATAATTATACTTCAGGAACTCTGCCTGTTGATTTTTCTTTGGAAAGAAGTCCTTTGAGAAATGGAGGAAACATGGCAGAGACTGTATTGCAAAGCAGAGGCATGAGTCAAAGGTGGGAAATAGTGTAGTGATCTCAAATGCACTTGTGCATATCTGGGCATTTAAGTTATTAATCTGAGGAATAGGCTAGTCTGGAAAAAAGAAATCGTGTGGCTTCCTCACTGAAGACAACGTAGCACTGTCTCATTCATAAATAATTTGTAAATAATGAAAAGACAGTAAGTGTATGTTGACACATGTGGAAAAAACAAATTGTAATTTAAATTCACTGAACTGTATTAGCGAAGTAGATCACCTCTATTGACTAGAAGAGTCATGATTTCCTCCATAAAGGTGAATTAGATTTCAGTTTCTTGAGGAGTTCTCAAAACTCAAATACTGACTACCTTTGTGATGGTAAACAGCAGGGTATGTTATGTAATCTGTAGCAAATTAACTCTTGATAAACTGGTTCTTAAAATACATACATAAATAATGTTAAGCATAGAACTACCATATGCGTATCTTACTGAGGTTCATTAGAAAGTATGCAAAAAAATCTAGTACGAGTAGGCCGATGAATGAGACATCAGTCTCTGTCACTTGTATTTGAAGCTTTTGAATCATAAAATTGAAGGGTTTCCTAAATTTAGTCCTTCTAATGGGCAGTCGTAATGCTGTATCGCAGATCTGAATCAGCTTGTAGTAGCATTAGTGGATGTAAGAATGCACATTGGTCTGGTATGCTCATGATTAGCATTTGTTTGGAGTAGGTCCAGTGAATCTTCTAAATTTTTTTTTTAATTAAAACACAAGCAACATTTTTAAAAGCTTGTTTACCTCGCTTTTTTATTTTTTTGAAAACACTTAGTGATCTCTTAACAGAACTTCAGTGTTTTCAGTAATGTTAATACTTATTTTTAGTGCAAGTTGTGCAAAGTCAAGCCCTTTAAAGTCACAGTGTACCACTTTTTTGGCCAACCCAAACAATATCAGTTCTGTTCTCTTGTGTTTGCTCTGTGCATTGAATAAAGCAGAAGTATTCTGCCTACTGGAGGAAAAGGAAAGAAGGTTGGTCATGATCTATTTACACTTTGTTGTAGTGCTCATCTGCATACATTTTAATGTTTTAACTGCAAATAGTCATCTTCCTAATACGAATTTCTGCAGCTCAAGCAGTATCTTCAGAGTTTTCTGTTGAACTGTATACTCTTACTCTTCCAGTATGTAAAAGCAGTTGGCTATAAGCATTTAAACCCAGCTGTTCTTATCTGATAGTTCACTAGAATTGCTTAAATGGAGACCTTTCTATTACTACCTTGAACAAAGACTTCTAGGAGCTGTGAGGTGTGTATATGAAAAGGGTAATAGGTTTGTGTGTGTCAAAATCCAAACTTTATGCTGTAATTTCTGGCAAGTCTGCATGACTTCGTAAGGCACTTTTGTACCAAATGACAAGCTTAAACCTAGTTTACTGCTGTAGTTGTGATTTCTCAGAGTATGAAGTGTTCTTAATTAATTATTCATATGTGTAACATATTGGGGTACAGTCAAAATCATTATTAATGTTTTAGGCTTTTTTAATAGGCCAAACTTTCTGTTGCATATATTATATGCTTACTCATAGTTGATAGGTTTTTCACTAGAATTGGTGCATGCCTGTATTTCATTAATTACCAAACATACGTAAATCTCTTAAGTTCCAGTGCATGTGTAGTCTAATTTTGTAAGTTTACAATTAAATACTATTTTTTTTTCTTGAATCACTTTACAGTTTGGGGGATCATAATTTACCCAGATGTGTTGCTGTGTCTTCAGGAATGTTTTTTGAATGCCAAAGTTTAAACATGTTTCTGACTGCCTTTAGTAGAATTGTATTTGACACAACACATCAAAATAATTTCTACTGTCAGCTTAGAGTATCTGAAGTTACTAAAACACAAATACTTCAAATTTTGCAGAACTCGTAGAGTAGAAATTCCAAAAAGGCAGTGCATGTTTTACCTACTTTTGCTTATTTCAGTGGTAGAACAGTTGTTAAATTCTTGAGAAGTCTGGACTTACTTCTAATTGCACCTACTGTGTCTGAAAATCTCATGACAAATTTTTGAAAGATCTGCTTTTTAATAAGCATAAGCACGTGTTTCCTGGCATATCGGGTGCATTTCATATATATGAAACACTTGCCCCCACTGTATTTTTTCTTTTTTTTTTTGGTCACCATTTGTAATCTTTTGGGTTTTATTCCTTTATCGATTTTTGAATAGGTTACAAATGGTGTGGGTTTTTATCATGAATCGAATGAGCTCCCAGAGCAGTTCATACACTCAGCGCAGGCGAATGGCTCTAGGAATTGTCATTCTTCTCCTCGTTGACGTGATATGGGTTGCCTCTTCAGAACTCACTTCTGTAAGTATTGTTCCATGAATCTTAAAAGGAAAATAAATGCCTGAGAGAAAGATGCAGAAGAAACATAGTCACTCAAACACTCAGTGAGTGTTTTTAGTGTAATGTTTAACCACCTTTTCAGTACACGGAAGACGATATCCTTTGGGTTAGCGAACTAACCTGTATCCACTAAAAGTTACGAACAAGCTTAACTTGGTGACTGTTGCTTTCAAGGCAGGTGTTACCGATGACTTTAAAATGAAACAACATAAGCTCATAACTGTGTACTGTAATTAGGGAGTTCGTTGTGCTTGTTGCCATGTTAAAATAATGCCCATGTTTTTCCCAAGAAGTAGTAAATTAGCTGTGACATTGCAGGCTAGGTGGTATGGTAGATGGTAATTCAGAACATCTAGAAGTCTAGGACCAAAGGACTCGGGGTCATGGAGTTAAGCCCTATAATTTCAGACAAGTTTGTCATAATCTAGTTCATATGTTCACCATCTTGAAACTGATTTGGTATTTACATCTTGTGAAGTTTTGGAACTTAAACCAAAGCTTTAGCAATGGAAACTGAGTTTTTAATAAATTCTTGTCAAATTCAGGTTTCTGAATTGTCATTAAGTTACCCTCTATATCAGTTTTTGAAACTAAGCATATAAAAATGCTTGTGTTTAAGATACTCTTATATTAAGAAAACTTTTCCAACGAGCTGGTGGAATCAGTATTGATACTGAAATGTTACTTAATCAAAGTAATCTTCTCTAATTTGCGATTAATATGCTATTGTTTATAAAAGCGGCCTTTCATTTAGAAAATATTTGTATGTAAATGTATGTTCAGTCTTATTTGAGTTCAGTGGCATATCAGTATGCTGCTTGGTTAGACACAATAAATAAGTAGCATTTCTCCAGTGGCATAGTGTCTTACAAAATGGCTCAGTACCTTTTTATTGGTGTTTAAGATAGCTTGGGTGAGGGTGCCCCCAGAATAAGTAAGGCCACTTGAGTCTTTTGGTCATACATGCCAGTACTAACAGCACTGTCATTTTGGGAACCAGACTGTTTTGGACTGTATGCTTAAAGCTGTTCATTCATCTTCTGAATTCTCACCTAATTGGTAATTTTGGATACTGCAATTATTTTCTTTCCACAGTATGTTTTTACAAAGTACAACAAACCTTTTTTCAGTACATTTGCAAAAACATCCATGTTTGTTCTATACCTCTTGGGATTTATTGTTTGGAAACCGTGGAGGCAACAGTGTACTCGTGGGTTTCGTGGAAGGCATGCAGCTTTTGTAAGTATTTTAACTTTATAAACGTTTTGATATTTGAAGTTTGTGCAGAAAAAACTTAAAATAGGGACTAGAGAAAGGCAAAATGTACATATTTGTTAAATAGTTCTTTCAGAAAAGCAGTTAAACTGAATCATGGCACAGGAAGACATGACTATTATAATAGTAGTCTTGTGAGACAAAGAAAATAAAGGAAAAAGCAGCATGAAATGTGTCAGGAATCATCAGAAATGCTCTGCTGGGTCAGACCATTGGCCTGTCTAGCCTGGTATTTTATCTTGGATGGCTGCAGAGGATAATTCTTTTTGAGAAGAGCTTATCAGAATGGCTGCTGTTGGTTCCCTTTTACTTCCCTAGTGTCTCTAACCAATGGAATCAGTATTTGAACTTTGTATTTGATTTTTATTACTGACTCTTTCTGTTTCTGACAGAACTATGAACTGTTTGCTAAGAGGTTTTGAGGTTTTTAAAGTCATATTTAGGAAAGGTGGTAGAATTATGTTTTTGCTGTTAATATTGTATTTTTATAGGTGTTATGCATGAGTGACCTTCTGTTGCCCATTCTAGAACTAGGCATGGTTTGTGCTAGAGTCTAAAATTATTGTCATATTACAGAAACACATACTTTTTTTTTTCCAAGGAAATTAGAGATGCCTGGAAGAGCGCTTGTTCTGTGCCAGTGTTTCAGAATGCTGAACAGCAGGACTCAGGAAGCAGTAAGGCGTTTGGCCTGATATTAATCTCACATTAAAATAACAGCAAATCTGATCCAAGAACATGCTGTTAATCAACATGCCTTTATAGAAAATAGCTTGTATGAAAGAAACTGACTTCAATTTTTCTGGATATATTAGACTTGACTGATAGTGACAGTTGTAGGCGTAACATACTAAAATAACTGAAGTGTTACGTGACATTAAGCCAAATGATTTTTATTAAAAAAACCACACCACAAAACAAAAAAACCATCCCTAAACATTTTGTTTTTAAACAAATCTTGTGTTAAAAACATAGAACGATTAGAGTTGGTTGATATCTTGAAACAATTTTTGGTAGATCAGCCTTTAATATCACATGTCTCTGCATAGTATGGCACACGTTAGACTTGATGCTGTTCGGTGTCTTCATAAGATAATCAGGAAATAAACAGAATTTACAGATTCTTTACTGGCAGTAACGACAAGGATGATGAAGGCGCTAAAGGATGATTAGTTGTACAGAGCAATTATACTGATCAAATTTATTGATCTAAGCAGATGAGTAGAAAAGGGGCTACTGTGTAGTGTGAATTGTAGTGGATATATTCACCAACTGAATCTCAGGCAGTGCTACATTAACGGAGGCAATAAAGCCTCATATGAACTGGACAGCAATGAGTAAGAGTGCTGAATCTGTCAAGTTTTGTGGCAGTCATGACAGCGCTACCAGAATCTCATTATTTTTTTTCTCTCTAATCCTATAAAAAGTAATTTTTAAAATAATTTATAGGAAATAGCAACCACTTTTGATGTTAGTATATTTCAAAAGAACAGTATAGACAGGACTGTAGTGTGCAGTTGGAAAATTCCACCCCCCCCAGGAGTTCCGTTAAATATTAAACTGTATAATTACTACAAGTGTCTTTGAAATATCTTGTGTTTATTAATCTGGAACAAATGATACATTTATAGATTTTTATTTCAAGAATGATTGCACAGGTAAACATTCATACCTTACTTTTAAGCCCTCTTCCACATTGGAGGCTTTGCTTAACAGATTTCTTATCAGCATGGTGGAACAGCAAGCTGCAGGTCAGGGAACAGGGGCAGTAGTGCTTGTTAAGATGCAGAAAGGAAGAGGAAAGACGATACTTGACTTTGTCCTAATTTAAGCCTTGTTAAAACTAAGGCAAAGTTCCAGGATTTTATGGAAAGGAACTTTGCCTCAATAAAATGAGGAAATGTTGTTGCTAATACATACACAGTAATTTAGTGGCGCATGTCTCGCTAAGACTGAACTTTACAGGTTTTGGCATTCTAACAGCCTGATCCTGCATTGATACCTGGGTAGTTGAATTCAATGGGGTTCTCCAAGAAGTAAAAGAAATTACTGAAATTATTTACTGAATTTGTATACCCTCTTTATTGGGGAAGAGGGTTGGAGGGAAAGAGGAAATTGTGATAGAATTATGAAAAAAGGCATTAAAAAACTAATTCTCAAAAAATTTCAGTTATTAATAACTGCCTTGATAAATTATTACATTTAAGGTTCTGTAATTAGTTTGCAGATGCTGAAGGTTATTTTGCTGCTTGTACAACAGATAACACTGTAAACAGCTCTCTGGTAAGTACTTTCATTTGTGAAGGTCAATGCTTTACAGTAACACAACATCATTATCCTGACTTACTGTTTTTAAAATATGGCGGTCTTAAGTATAATAGTTTTTGGCAAAGGAGCTTGGTAACTTATATGTTAATAATGCAAGCTGCAAATAATGACATTGCTTATTATGGGAAATACAGGTCCTCAGCTCAATATAACACTTATGTGAATGTTTCTGTAGTAGTTTGTAAAAGAAATATTTATGACATATGAAGGAAACCTTTACATATTCAGCTTGGTAGCTGCCAAAGCAAAATGCGGAGAGCTAGCAATAAAGCCACACAGTTTTCAAGACTAAAATCTACAACGGAGTCATTCATTTAATCAGCTAGTTTGTGTACCATGATCCTGCATTGCATTTTGAAAGAGAAATGGGCTCCTTGCTTCCTTCCAATGGACAGAGTGACTACTGTCTACTGAATCAAATGTCAGTAGTGGTATTCTGCTGATAAGCTGCATTGCGAGATGGCATTTTTCTGGTGATTTTGATCGTCCATAAATGATGGTTTGTTATGCCCCTGTTGATCACAGATTGCCGCTTAATCTGCATACTTGAATCAGAGGCCACATGCAGAAATGTATCCAAAGCACACAACTTTTAAAGTTTGCATCATCTATGTAATAGAGTAGGGGAAGGCAATTGAGTGCTGACAAAGTACCATATGGGTATTTTATACTGAATAGGGAGTTGAAGAGAGATTTCTTTCAGAAGTATTCTTCATTTGTTTCTGTGTGGTTTTTGTTTTGGTTTTTTTTTTCCCCCAAACTTTATTTGTCTACTTCTAAGAATCAAATCTTCTTAGTCTGCTCAATTCATTAAGATCATCTCACTCCAGAAGCAGGATTCATTGGCAGCCTTGGACAATTTTGCATTTATTTAAACATCCACAAAAATTCTGGTCCTAAACAAGGAGCCTAATGACGGCGCAGCTATCAGATTTCGTTACTCCACTTTTACAGTTTATTAGTTCACTTTAAACAAGCAGCTTAAAACTTGTCTTGTTAGAAGTATTTTAAACAATTAAAACTTCTAAATGCCTTATATACTAGAGTTCCTTTCCCAAAGTTTTTTGACTTCTAGTTTATGAGCCTTTACGATCATGGGAGGAAAATGGGTGTGGATTAATTTTTATGTATTATGTTTCTAGTTTATCATTTGGAGAGAAGCTATAGATCTAATGAAAGGCTTGATTTTGAGTTATTATTGAATTTTAAATCGGTAGGATTGAATTTTCTGGGGATGAGTTTTTGTGTTCATGAGGATTATGTAAGAGCACAGAGTTATTCTGAGTACTCATTCAGCCAATATTTTTAACATGAAATACATATTATTTATGAACCCTTTTGACAAGCCTATCCACTGTATACAAAAGCAGTTTGTTAAATTTGATTCTCTTAATATTCACTGAGCTTTTCTTTAGTTAACTTTATAATTCACTATATTAATTCTACTGTTTATAATTTAAATATCCTGCTTAACTGTATTTTTACTTATACTGATTCATTTCAGAGTGAACCGTTATATGTTCCTGTAAAGTTTCATGATTTGCCAACTGAAAAAAATGGCAGTAATAATAGTGATGCAGAGAAAAGTGAGTAAAGACTTTGGAATGCTGAAATGCTAGTTTTTTGGTGAATGAATTACTTTCTTCTTTGTTGGTATAACTGCTGTCATGTTGCAGGACTTGCCTTTTTTTCCCCTCTCTTTTTTTTTTTTTTTTCTCCTTTCTTTAAATCTCTTATTGCATGAATTGCAGTCTCATATATTTACTTGCAAGTAGAGAAAACATAGGCCTGTTGTTCAGTTTACCTTTCTTGGTCACTACAGATCCAGCCTATGTTTATCTCAAGGGACCAACTGGGTTCAGTACTTGTGATTCTTTCCTTCTGGGCTTGTATGACCAGCAGCAGTGAGTCAGCCTCTGGAAAAACAAGCTATTGTCCTTTTTAGAGCAGGAGCAAAGCAGTCAAAGTAAGAATTTTAACAGTCTATGTGCATTCTGATTTTATTTAAGCCTCACTATCTTGTGATAGTAGCTGAAACGGGCCTAACTGTCCCAGACAACTATAGAAAAGTTGGCTGTCAAAGAATCCAATTATCTGATCCTCAGCAAAAGAGTCCCTCCTTATAAAAGGGAAAGTATCTTTGCTAATTTCTAGATGACATGTGCAGAACCACTATGGGTAGGCTCTGCTGTCCTGGGATAACATGCACTAGTCAGTTCAGGGTTGTTTGAGCTGTAGCTTTTCCCTTTACTTTTTTTTTTATTTTTTAGAAAATTAGATATTGTTTCATGTTGAACTAGACTAATATTTATATATAGTGTGTAATGTTTTCTTTATACAGGAAACTAGTGATACTTACAATACCCTTATAAATAAGATCTGATCCTGGTTTGCAAGATTAGTTAGAAGGTGGGTTTCAAATGAGCAAGTGCCCTTAAGAGATATCTGCTAAGCTTTGAGGTCTGTTGGAGGATCTCATCCTCTGAATGAAATGCTGTCCGTGCAGTTAGGTATAGTTGTGTGCAGTTTTTGACTGTTGAACTATTAAATAGTTAAAAGAAAATCTTACATGTAATATTTATCAATACAGAGTAATTCTTACCTAAAAACTTGTTACCTTGTGGGGATTTTTTTGACAGAGAGGAGGGATGGGGCTTTTCAGTGAGGCTTTTGTGGATGGGCAGCTGTACTGATTGAAAACAATAATTGTGCTTTGTCTTATTAGTGACCTATCAAATAGCAAAATACTAGTTTAATAAATAAAAATGTCTTCTATTTGGATAAAATCCTGTTATTATTTGTGAAGTATTGTAATCAATGCCACTAGAACCTCATAGTTTTGTTTGCATATTGTGTTGGCTTGAAAAGCTTAATGATAATATGCAGCCTTTTTTCTTTTTTTTTTTTTTTTTTTACTTTTTTCTTTTCTTAAGCTCCCAAAAAGCCTCGTGTAAGGTTCAGTAATATTATGGAGATTCGACAACTTCCATCGAGCCACGCATTGGAAGCAAAGTTGTCTCGTATGTCATATCCAACAATTAAGGAGCAGGAATCAATATTAAAAACTGTAGGAAAACTCACTGCGACTCAAGTAGCAAAAATTAGCTTTTTCTTTTGCTTTGTGGTATGTGATCCATTTTCTTCAGAAAACTTAAATATAGATGCAGTTAAAACTTGTATAATAATAGTGAAACAGTATTGACATGACTTGTATTCTTTATGGCTCATTTCATAAATATACTATAAGAAGTGAAACGTTCCTCATGTTGGGCACGAAGGTGGAGCTTCTTAAAGGGAAGGGTAATAAAAAGAGATCCTGGATGTGTAGTTAACTGTAAGGTCAGTTGTAAGATGTGCCATACTTTTGTCCCATGTTGTCCGTTTGGTACAGCAAGATCAGGTATTACATGTATATAGGCTGTTAACAGCTGCAGTGAGACTGCACGAAATGGGTAAATGTCACTATGGATTCTTACTGGGCCATCACAGAAAGAGTACCGTCTTATGCCTCACTGTGGCATCGTGTCCTCCAGGTATATGAAGAGAAGATAGTTAATTGTCCTTCAGCACCATTGAGGGCTGCAACATTTACTTATGAATCTGTTGGTTGCTGGTGTTTCTGCACCATGTCTTGGGGAGAGAGGAGTAATGGTGGCAGGATTTTTGAGAAACGGTAAAAAATGTAGAGAGCAGATCAGTGATAGCCTTTCTGGTGGTAGCTTCACTGATACTGCAGAATAGACTGTATGTAGTGTGGACCCACTGCAGCTTTTCCTCAGGAGGCTGTGGTCTTTGAACATTTAAAATAACAATTTTCAATTATTGTCATTAATACTATCAATGCATAGACCAGAAAACAGTGATGCAATTTTTCTGTGTGTATATATAAAGAATGTGCACACAGCAGCAAGAGAATAATAAGCCACTCATTAATTATTTTGGATGGATGAAATAGCTTTTTTAAAAAATTATTTAAAATTCTGTGTGGCTAAGTATATTTTCATATTTATACACATGCAGATTTTCTAGTGTAGAGTCTTGATGTTCAAAACAAATTCTGTTTATGCTCTTCATGGATGCTGCTACTACTGACATGTACATGTATTTCTTGTATTTCCGTCTAAGAATTTAGAGAATGGTAACCTCCCTGAGGATATACCTGAGATTTCATAAATGAGATCTCTATCAAGAAATGATAAAACATTTGCTATTTTTTTTATGCTTATGAAGCAATTCACAACTATGAATCCTTCCAAAAATATTTTTTTGAGGTATTAAATGTAAGTGACACTTATTTTTTAGGGTAGAAATACGTGATTTTAAGTACTCTAAAAGAACTTATTAGGCTGACTAATGTTCCACGTATCTCTGAAATTTCTTTGCAGCCCTTGTGCAGTAATCATCTTGAAGCACTTGCAAAACAAGTTAGAAGTACCTTTGGTTACTATAAAATAGCTATTATAATTTCATTTTAATTAATTAATTATGTTTAATTTCTAAAGTATGTTATTTCATTATTAAACACATAGTTGAAGGTGTTTGGTTTGGACCAGTTCTGATTTTGCCTCTGTCTTTTAATGTACCTGCCACTTTAATAGAAGTTAGAAATATGTTTGAGGTAGTGGTCTTGTTTTGATTTTTCTTTTTGGACAAATAGTTGGTGTTTTTTTCTTTATCTCTGTAATAAAATCCTACTTGAAGTCTGCTGTTGCTATCCATATAATCACAAAATTATTTTTCTTTTACCCCAGTGGTTCTTGGCAAATTTCTCTTACCAAGAAGCTCTGTCAGATACCCAGGTTGCCATAGTTAATATCTTGTCTTCAACCTCTGGTAAGTTTTATTTACACCAGCAGATTATAAGGCTGTTTATAACATAAAAATCTTTGCAGTGGACTTGTGTAATGATTTACCTGTGGTTTGGGAGAATTCAAAGGCTTAAAGGCATTGAATATGGGCATTTAAAATTTCATTATGTAATTGCAGGGGTTTAAGCTATCTTCATGATTTCCATGCTCTTTGCTTTTCAAGTCCGTGTGTGTGTACTTCTATGGTTATGTCTGTGTATTAAGGAGATATATTGGGAGTGTAATAGGTTTGATGGAAAGGTGGTATAACTTTTTATCAAAATAAATACAATTCAGGGTACAGTCTTCTTGCAAATTAATGTTTTTAAAAAAATGGTTTTAGGGGTAAAGAACTTAAATTAGTTAAATATTATGCATATCACTTTACAAGTCTTATGAAAGGCTCCCATATATGAGCTTTAAAGTATTTAAATCATGTGACAGGCCATGTTTTGAGGTGTAACTCTTGTTCTTTTATAAAATCAGTTTTAAAAGCACAATTATGTGATTTCTCCCCCTGCCCCTCCGCCCCCCCCTACTTCTCAGGCTTATAGCAGTTTATTTTTTTGGTACACTTAGCCTTTCTCAAAGTTGAGCATTTGTTTGCTCATCTAAGGATTTACATCGCAAGGTGTTAGTTTCATAATAGTTCAGATTAAAATTTTGGTTGCTAAAAACAAGTAGTTAAGTTTGTGAAATATAAAGAAGAAAATGTCTGTGCAGCTTTCTGAACAAACTAGCAGAACTTGATTGTATAAACTCTTCTTAATTTCTCTTGCAGGGCTTTTTACTTTAATCTTAGCTGCAGTCTTTCCCAGTAACAGTGGAGATAGGTTTACCCTGTCCAAATTATTAGCTGTTATTTTAAGGTAAGAAGATGGGATGGAACATTTGATCAAAATAATCACTGATACAGTGAGAGGATAACTATACCTATTATACCTATGGCACCTGTGACAATGTATGATATGCTTTACATTTTTAAAATCCTTGTTTCTTTTTAAATAGTTCATATCATGAACAGTTACTGAATCTCGTGCTGTTATAGGTTAGATTAATCAGGTTTCTGCTGGAAATATGTGATGTTATTTTCATGTTGTTTAATTATGATTTCTCTATCTTTGTGTAGATGGGAAAAAGGAAGAGGCTTGACATTCAGTGTTGTCAGCCTGTTTCATTAAATGCCTGGTGTGCTGTTCAGGGAAGTTAAAAGTGGAGGTTTTGGTTTGTTTGTGTGTGTTTTGGGGTTTGGTTTTTTTTTTTTTTTTCAGCTTAGGATCAGGCCTTAGCAATAGCGAACTCCTTTTGACTTTGCCAAAAGTGAGGTTTGGTTAACGAAAATTACATAAAGATAGAACTCTGTTTTGATATTTTTCTCCCCCTTGTTTCCTGTCTTTTTAAAAACATTCTTGGTTTTAAGTAGCGTTTTGGATTTCTTCTTTTTTGATAGCATTGGTGGCGTGGTACTTGTTAATCTTTCTGGATCTGAGAAATCTGCTGGAAAAGATACAATAGGTATTTACTTTTTTTTTTTAATCCTAAGATACATAGTGATGAGTACCATCTTTTAACAATACCTAGCAGGTCAGACTATATATTTCTTACTTGTATAACACTTCACAATTTGGCTTTTTAGTTTCAACTTCTGAAACAGGACATTTATGATACTTTTTTTCCCCCCTGTGTATGTGGGAAAATATTTACGTTTTTGAGCTTTCTGCATTTTCCTGTACTTTTCATATAGTAATGGATACTGAAATAACTTGTTTATCTCTGACAGTTTTATAATAAGTGTATGGTTAGGTGAGTTGAACCTAGTGTGTATAACATGCTTGGCATGTCTTGAGTGGTGGTTTTGTTTTTTTATCTTTACAGGTTCCCTTTGGTCTCTCGTAGGAGCAATGCTATATGCTGTGTACATAGTAATGATAAAAAGGAAAGTGGATAGAGAAGATAAACTTGACATACCCATGTTCTTTGGTAAGACTAAAAAACTCTATTGAAAGTTTTAATTCATGATGTGATTTTATTGTTTGCTTTCAGGCACTGAACTGTATATGAGTCGTAATGGGCTCAGAAAAGCAAAGGAAGTGGAGAAAGCCTGTTGTTCCTGTGGTTATCTGAATTGTTTCTTGTTTACAGCCTTAATAATGTAAGGTGACACTAGCTGTAGGAATGCAGACAGCTCCTTTAGACTCAATGAAATTATTTCTTTTTTTAATTTATTTTAATTTCAAACCTGTAAATATCTGATGTAATTGTTGTTTGTGAATTTCAGGTAAAGTTTCTTACATTCCTTTCATCTGAAGGATCTAAAATACTGCTTTTTTGCAGCTTTTATGTATGAATGTTGTCAAAATAGTAGAGTTTAGCTGTGATTTTAGTTATGTTGAAGGATATTTATTGTGATTTACTTAATACTGGTTTTATACTCAGGTTTTGTAGGGCTGTTTAACCTGTTGCTGCTGTGGCCAGGGTTTTTCCTGCTTCACTATACTGGGTTTGAAGCGTTTGAGTTTCCCAATAAACTGATATGGATGTGCATTGTCATTAATGGCCTTATCGGAACAGTTCTGTCAGAGTTCCTCTGGCTGTGGTATGTACTACATGCTTTGTATCTATTTCACATAAATTGTCTTACCTGTGTTCTCATATGTTGAGATGTCAAATGGAAGAGAGACATGCTTCCAATGCCGTACGGCTGTTCAATGAACGATGTCAGTTTCAGTGCTATATTTTGAATAGGTGTAGCAGTTTGTGAGCTTTTGCCTGAGAGCCCTTCGCATTCAGCCTCTCAGCTCTGTGGTAGAGAGGATCTGTCTTAGTGACAGTGTGACAGTATTAAAACAAAAAATACAGGTGGAGTTCCATGAAAACATGAAAACCTGGGTTGTGGGTTTTTTTTGTTTTGGATTTTCAGATCAAGTTTAAAATTATTTTGGAAATTTAATCATTACATTTTTTGTTTATTGGCAAACTCTTACACCAGTCCTAGTTTTAAATGCATTGCAGTGTATGTTCCTTTGTAACTTAATTTGTTTATTGATGGAATATTTTTGTGATGTTAACACCATCCTGTAAGATTAGACTACAGTTCAGTATCGGTGAAAAGGTTAAGTACAATGTCAAGATAGGCAAAATAAAACAAAAACAAAACCACAAAAAAGCAACGAAAGCCCCCAAACTTGACTCTTGTCCCAAAATCCAGTAATAGCATAGGGTTAAGTACATGGCTGTGCACAGACTTTTTTATACACATACTATTTGTGTAATTACTCAGAATGATAATCTAGTGAGCCATTTCTATTTCCTGTTCCTTTTCCCTAGAATTCTGGACTAGGATTGATTTCAGAGTTTGTGGTAACATCATCCTTTTACCTGTCCAGTGTGCCACTAGTATGGTCATCTACTCTTTGGAAATAAATAATATAAATAAATCCAACTGCATACTGCCAACCAAATAATGTAGTGGTAGATGTTATGTTTAATTATTTATTTTTTTAACCTGCTAAGTTTTCGTTGGATTCTATACTGTTTATTCATTTACAGTGTTGTGTTGGACAGGTCAGTTCTAATTCAGAAGTAGTGAGTGTGAAGATACAGAATTATTCTCTTATGGTGTAGAAGGGAATTTAGAATATTGGGAGGAAGTTTGCAAAAACAGAGTATCTAAAATACTTGGTTTCCATTCTGTTCCTTTTTCATTTGTGTACGCTTGTCTTTGTTTTAAAGACATACAACCGTGCAAAGGGATTACAAATATCCAAAGCAGTTAGTTTTGCTTGGCTGAAAGTTAGTCGTATGGGAGGACCTAATGGCTTGGGAGTGTTCTTCTAGTTTAATTAGAGAAATACGTGCATGAAGTCATGTTCTAGAAAATGTTTTCAAAATGTGTGTTCAAACCTTTGTGTTTAAAAGGTGTTAACAAACTTCTGTGAGGTCAATTAAAATAGCGTTTTCTTCAGTGAACCACACTTCATGAATATAGTTTCGGTAGTGCTGAATCTGTTTAATTTTTACAGTAGCCAGAACAAGGACTGAGTAGGTAAAAAACAAATTCCAGGACTCTAATAAAAACTGCAGCTACAGAATTTTCCTTCTTTAAAATTAGTTGTGTGCAGAACTAATTACAGTTCCACAAAAAGGCATAGCTGATACTGTTTTCAATACTTGCCAAGGATAAGAAGAATTGACTTAATCTTAATAAATGAATAAATTTAGATACCTTTGAAATAAGAGGCTGATTCCGTAGTTGGCCATTACTGATTTGAATTAGGTAGAGACCCCCTGCTATTTATTTCCTTCATATGGTAGAATGGGCTATTTCATCAATGAGTATTTGCTAACAAGCCTTTTAATTTTTCTTTTTTACTTAACCAGACTGGGCAAACCTGACTTAATTGCTATAAGCTGGTATTAAAATGGAAACAAAATGGAGATTTTTCTAGGTGAAGTCACTATGTGGGGAGTAGTGAATTTTCCATCATCTCAAAAGTCTTGCATGGGAATTAAACCTCACTCCAGAAGACATCAGTATTCTAGTTAAGAATTTTATGCAGTTTTACAGATTTATGATGGAGTGTGGGTATCGCAATTTTTTATTATTAAAACAAACAGTGACTTAAGCTTGATTTAAATGTCTTCTGCAGTTTGATGTAATACTTCAGTTGTCTTTTAACTTTTAAATAAGACCTCTTTGTTGTTGTTATTATTTATTATTATACTTCTTTATTACCTTTTAGGGGCTGCTTTCTTACCTCATCACTGATAGGCACACTTGCGCTAAGCCTTACAATACCTCTGTCCATAATAGCTGATATGTGCATGCAAAAGGTAACGTACTACAAAGTTTTGAGCATTATTAACAGAATTTCTTTGAATTAAATGGCAGTGTTGTTCTCGCCAATGTATACAACAAACAGTATTTCACTTTTGTCACTTGTCAATAATTGTTGAACTGCATTGTAATTAATACTCTCTTGATATTGACAGTTACGGTAATTTCACATTTGTAAGCATGCACTTGCACACTTAAATATATTTGATTAAGATGCAGCTTCTCTGAAAACCATACAAAGTAATCAGTAATGCCTGGTCAAATGCTTTACCTTGAACAGGCACTTCTCAGAATTAAAGAATAACTGCAAGTACAGCACACCTTAAAGTAATACGTTTACAATTATAGAATTGTTATAGACTGCCTATCTTGAAAATACCCAATTACTGACAAAACCAAAAATCTGCAAGTTTACCACAAAGGAATCTAGCAGCTACAAAGCTTAATTGCATATTATTAGATTCATGTGTATGTTAGGCTTCCATTTAACTGTCCTTCTTTAAGTTAGTCTTGTTTCACTGGTATTGAGGTAATAGCTGTGGAAAACGCCTGCATGTAAGGAAAGAAAAGAATCTGGTAAGCGGAGTTTAGAATAGAAACTATATGAAGTTTAGTTTGTATTACTCTTCAAGCTGTATAGATACTTTTCTCTTCATGCTGGTGTGGGGTAAAACTCTCAGTTTTAAATACTTAATTATGTATGAACTTCAGCTCTAACTTTAATATTTAATCAGTGGCAAGGAATATCAAATTCTTAATTTCCTGTGAATAATGATTATTTGGCATATACTGCAAGCATGCAATTACTGGGTTTTTATTGTATATCTTTTTTTTTTTCTTTAAATCAAGGTCACATAACTGTTTCTACTTCCTGAAGGCATGATCACTTGTTTCTGCTCTGTATTTTGGATTTAAACTATGCGTGGAACATAGCTTAATTTGAGCATGCTCTGAGTCTTGGCTTCCCTGAAGCAAGTGGGGTTCATGCATTATCTGTGATGGTTCAACTTATGACTTGTTTTCAATCGTTATGGTTTTGAGTTTTTCTTTTGAGGCTTGTACTTGTTTGTACAAGAAACTAGTCAAGTCTTGCACTTAAAATGTTTCCTGTCAATAAGAAGCTTTACTGTTCAATGTTTTCACAAGTAAAGTGTAAATTCTAATGAGAACCTTTTGACTTCTGAAATTTTCTGACAGGCGTGTAAAAATGGGCGGAAAAATACCCCACACAACTTGTGTTTCACTTAATGTCAGTGTGGATTTTGGAAAATAAAGCAGAAAAATAAAAGGATAAAAATAAGAAAAGGAAAGTCAAATTGGAAAACGAGAGTCAGACCCTGAACAAATAATTGTGTAACAAATATGTGAGATACAGTATGTTTCATATTAGTATTAGCTGAATATTCAAATGTGGAAATAAAGCAGTGATTCCAACAATAACAGAGCATTTGTTGGTAAGATAACTGCATTTGTGTTGCTGTTAAAGTATCTGCAGTATACACTTGGGACATTAGTTATTTACTTTCCTGTTACAATTTATGATAGCTATTAAGGAAATATGGAAAAAAAAATCTGCAGACTTCTCCCCCAGAAACTCACTTTAGTGAGTTGGAATTAGATTTACATGTGAGCTAATGCTAGTAGCAGAAAACAAAATCTTGTATGTATGTATGTGTGTATTAATACATATTTTATATATGTGTCTGTATGTGCAAATGCATCTTTAGAGATGTGTGTCTATGTATAGTTACATATATCAATATAGGAAAAGTTTAGGCTGTCTTCTGAAGTGATTCATCTAAACTTTCTTCTGGAATACACTGAAAAATGGAATATGCTTTTTTAATTCTCAGTAAATAACTTCATCTCTAGGCTATTTAATCTGCGTAAACACAGAGCCCAGATCTTTTAAAATTAATTTATTCTTCATGTACTCATGCGATATCAAGGCATTTGAAATAGCAGAAACATCTTTAAAGCTCTGTTGGTTGACTTTCAGTTGATGCTGATAACATGAGGGCAGGTTACATTTTTAAGTCATTTTTATAGTTTATCACTGTTAGAGTTGCTCCAATTTTAGTGTTTAGTATTTATAAACAAAAAAGCCCCACAAATATAGGTAACTAGCAATCTAACTTTCTGTACACCTTGTATTGGCTCTTTTTCTATTTCTTGTCTTAAATATTCACTTTCCTGTGTTGTCTCAGTTTATGTGCTGGCAACATCTTTCATGATCTGAATCTTCTTGCCTCTTCCATTTCATCCACCATTCTTTTCATTTGCCACCATTGGTTCCTTCTGGAGTTTGTGGTCCACAAACTTGCTACCTTCTATTCCTTTTAATTTTTCTTTCTCTGTTTGAAAAGGCTGCTTTGTCCTCCTCTGGGCAAATACAGAGCCTGACTGTCTTCAGGCAGCTGGCCATCAGGTGATGCCTCTTATGTCTTGCCATATGTGGGAGAGTAATCACAGAGCAATTGGGGGTTCATTCTCTTTTTTTTTGGTCCTTTTCCAATTCATATATGCATCTACATTACTGGTGTTCTTTCTTCCCCTGGCTGTTATATACTTGCTGTTCAAGTTTCTACTTTCCTGTCTGTTTGGTGCTTTCAGCTTGTGGCTACTTCTTGTATGTTTGAGGGTATGTAAGCACTTAGCACCTTCTGACACTGAACTTTTCAGCATGGGGTCATTGAGGGCCAGTAAGCCTTTTTTTTTTAACAACAGAGTAAATGTCTACTGTATCTTCTCTTGCTGTTGGAGGTAAATTCTTTGTCCCTTGTGTTTTTTTAAAAAAGAATTGCTAGTATTAAAAGCACAAATGAGTGATCCTAATTAAAGGCAAACTCCTGTAGACTTCAAGGTTGTTCGTACAAGTGCATTTGTACAAGTATGTCTCCGTCATACAAACATCAAAATATACAAAGCCAAGACCTAGACTCACTGAAGTCTCAGGTGTCCAAGTTAGCCTGATAGAAATTTAAGCTTCCAACTTCAAGCTTTCTAGTTGGTGCTTTTGCCCAGCCTTGTCTTTACGCCACATTTCAGTTTTCTTTAAGGGAACCTACATAAGAATGTCACTGGTGTGGCTATTAATGTAAATAATAATGTAAAGATTAAACTATGAATATATGGAGTCTTCATATGACTGTCAAATGGTATGGTAATTATACAATATGCATAATTACTAACTTTCTGGCTATTTAATATTTTGTAATAATTTGACATAAATCAGAATATTAAGAAAGTACAACCCAATTTTAAACAACTATTTAAATACTCCTTTTAGTAATTTATGTGTTTGAATTTCTGTTAGAAATTAGTAAGGATAACATAAGGCTCTAACAACTGCAGTTTATTAGTTTTTTTGAGACCGAACATCAGTGCTAGGTATCAAAACTGTACCTTTTGTCTCCAAAGTCTTCAACTTTGGAAGTTTTCCCCACAAGAGGGAGCCGTGCTCATGGTTCATTGCTCTGTTGGCCTTAAAGGCATTTCAGAGACTAGTTCTTGTTCTTGCACCCTTGATTTCTGTAACCTTCTATAATTTTAAGTTCTAAACAGTCTCAGATGATCACTGCAGAGTGTAGTAGTAGATAGACATAAGTAGTAGTATAGATACAAGTAGAATTTAGTTTAAACTGAGCAAATAACGTGTCCTGCCTTTTTTTTTTCTTCATGAAAAAGAGAATGATTGTAAACTTCCCATGGCATAGTCTTTCTGTGTGCATAGATTTCACCAGTTACCATTCAGTGCCCATGTATTCATAGTGAATAAAAAGGTACACAAATCTTTCAGGTGAGTTCTATTACTCAAAACTTTTGAAGTATCTAAGGGACTCTCATTGGTACCAATCAGACAGCTAAAACTTAAAAATGAGGCTATTTGGAAATACCAGTCTTTATCCACACCACAACACAAATAGTACATTCCATTGTACAGAATGGATCAGCGAAGAAAGGTTATTCATGTATTAGAAGCATCAGTGGCTGTATAAATTGTACCAAATAACCTACAAAAATATTTGTAATATTTCACCCAATTTAGAAGAACTGCAACTGAATTCAAACTTACGATAATTACTCCAAATATACAGTATGCCAAATTTTTTTTTTTACTGTTGAGTGAATTATGTTTGTGTTTTAATTCTAGGTGCAGTTCTCCTGGTTATTTTTTGCAGGGGCAGTACCTGTATTTTTTTCTTTTTTCATTGCAACTCTCTTATGTCACTATAACAACTGGGATCCAGTGATGGTGGGGATCAGAAGAATTTTTGCCTTTATTTGTAGAAAACATCGAATTCAGAGGTAGGGCAGTCACAAAGTATAATCCTATCTCTTCTTTAGCCTTTCCAATATCCTGTACTCTTTTTATAAACCACAGTACTCGTACTGTATTTATTTTCATCTAATTTTACATTCAGGTGTACTAATTTCTTAATAGTAGTTGCCAATCCATTTATTAACCTATGTAAAGCTGAGAAAATCGAGAGATATGAAGTCTGTTTATCTTTTAAAAGAAGTATCCTAGTGACTGTCACAGTTTTCTTTTTGTTTTGTCCTTAATTACCTGTATGATAGCTGCTGTACCTAGAACAAGTAGTGAAAATTGTGCAAACTTGACAATACTTCATGAGTTACAGTCTTTCTATGGTTTGATGGCTGCAGTTCAAACAACTAGCATGCTTAGTACTTACGTTGTCTTTATAACAACCAATTTAATATTACTGTGTAACTTTAAATGAATAACTTTTGTTTCTTTTAAGAATGCCAGAAGAAAGCGAGCAGTGTGAAAGTCTCATTCCTATGCATAGTGTTTCACAAGATGGGGATAGTTGCTGTTCATAGACAAAAGGTATGCTTAATAAACTTCAAACAACAGAAAGAGGTGAGGATTGGTTTTCATGATGGCATTTGTGTTATATAAGCGCACATTTTTACAGAGTATACAATTAATCTTGTTCTGTATTGATGGATAATAATTTTAAAGATAGAATCATAGCATGGTTTAGATTGGAAAGGACCTTGAAGATCATTGAGTTCCAACCTCCCTGCCATGGGCAGGGACACCTCCCACTAGACCAGGTTGCCCAAGGCCATGTCCAGCCTGGTCTTGAACACCTCCAGGGATGGGCCTCAACAACCTCTCTGGGCAACCTGGGCCAGTGCCTTACCACCCTTAAGGTGAAAAACTTCTTCCTAAGATAGCCTTCAAAACTCTTATTATTTGTTACCAAGCATTATTCTCACCTTAATACGGTTCTTGGTCCATGGTTTTGAAATGTAAAGTAGTTTTTTGCTTAAGAGTTACAACGTTCACAAAAAAAAAAATCAGACATGATTTAATAAACCAGAAGAGGCATACAACTTCTTGGTATGGATGATGTGTGTGGAAGAGATCTGAAGTAATTATTTCACTCTTTTCAACACTGTTGAGGTCTCAGTTTAGGCTACTGCAGTTCATGGAAAACACTGACTGTTTAGGGAAGTTTAGAGGACGTAACCAGACTTTATTATTATTTTTAATCAACTTTATTATTAAGGATCTAGAAAATGGAAAGGACTCCTTGTATTTGTGGTTAACAAGAATTAAGTTGTTAAATTGCATTAAATATTAGGGAAAGTATTTCTCATGATATAAAGATAGGGCAACTAGGGTAGAATAGCTAAGGAGTTTGCAAAATATCCATCCCTAAGAGGAGGTTATGCAAACCTGTAACAGGAACAGGCCTTTGGTTTGAAAATAACATATGAAGAATTACATAAGTATATCATTACTTTCCAACGTTGCTTGAATCTAATAAAGAAATTAAAACCATTCTAACCAGAACAGCAGTTGTGGTAACTTGTGTACTTTAAGCTTAAGATATTTGCTTTATTAATAAGATGGAAAGAAATACATGTGGTGACTGCTTTTTTTGTAATCTTTAATTATGTAGCCCTGATAATTTTTTTTTTTTTCTTAGTTTAAAAATGGAATGATGCCCAGCGAAGAGACAATCTTCTGGAAAAGTCCCTAAGGAATCATGTTTCAGTGCCTATTCTGAATTTGTAGTAAAAATTAAGAAGTTTCAGTTCTTTTGAAACTTTAAACTTTTCGTCTTTCTTGCTTTCATCTGGTTTTATAAATGAACAAATTTACTACATGCCTATCGCCATAGGGAGTCTTAGTCCATCTGAGCAACCAACCTGCCTTATAACACTGAGCTGGTGAAGTTACTTGACAAAATCAAGAAAACAAATGCTGTTAAATGATTCCTTTCTTTTTTAACTCACAATTTTGTTAAATGCTGGACAATATTATTTTTAAAAAAATACTTTCAAATGAGTTCTGTAAATAAGTTTGCAGGTCATCAAGTCTTACAGGCTTTCAGATGAAAAGCTAAATAGATATATTACCTGTAGTAGGTACAAATTAACTTTTTTATGTTGTATAAACTATTTGCATATTAATAGAAGAAAATAGAAAAATAATTTATTAAGTGCATTCTTGTAATTATTGAGACAGGATCTCTGTACAGTCCTGGAACACTACATATATATTGTCTTATGCCATTTTGAGAAGCCTTGTAATGGCAATGGGTGCCGATGTTTAAAAATCTTTTGTCATCTAACAATCTGGAGTGTTTAAAACATTAGTGAATCGTAAAATATTTCTAATTACAGTACATTTGGGTGTCCATTCTCAAAATCAGTGTTTGTTTTAGACAGATTGGTTTTGTAACCCATTCTTATTCCCATTTCTCACATGAAAACTAAATTTGAAAATTTTCATGTGTATAGCTGCTAAGTTATGAAAGACATCAAATTAATTGTGGAAGTCTTCAGTCAATGGGTTGGCACTACAGTAATCTGCTAAACAATCTGAAATTTAAAGGTATTTGCATTGATTTATTTTTTTTTTCCCCTCAGTTGCATTAATAAATTTATTATAAAATTGATCATTTTCCTTAACTTGTATCTTCCTTCCACTGCAGTGCTTCTGTCCTATTTGATTCTGAAAAGTTATGAATAACTATTCAGGAATATTTGAAATTAGTCAGTGCCATTTTCCAACTTCTGGCCTTTAAGACACTTCAATTAAAGTTAATTTTGGCTTTTGATGGATTTTATTTTTTTATAATGAATGTAGGATGGATTTTCAGCCAACAGTATTCTCTTCCACGTAACAAGATTATTAGTAGCATACTTCCGCTATCCTTCTACACGGAAGGATGACATAACACAAATGCATTTTCATTTTTGGCACTCAATAATGATCCTTCAAAAAGAAATTTTGGTGGTTTGGTGATATAACTACTAGATGAGAGGAAATGCAGAAAAGTAACATGCGTATCTGTACACTTAGAAGGATTTATTAGCCAGCAGCTCGAATTTAATGTAAAAATCTGTAAGTAGAGAAAGGGGGGGGGGGGGGCAGGGAGTGAACCTGGGGACTATTCTGGTTAAATATTGCACCTTTATCAAATTTTTCCTTCCAGTTTTTCATATTGGATTACACTACAAGTTTCAGTGATCTGAGGCATCTCTTTAAGGTAGTAAGTACTTCTTTGGACACCTGAATTAGGAATGATTAAAAAACCAAACAACAAAACCACAAACCCAAAACAAACAAAAAAAGTTGTCTAAATTTATGTAGGGATTTTGAGAAACTTCACATTTAAATTCTCAAACCCCTTAATTAGAGGGGCTGAAAATGCAGAATGTAGAACTAACTTTATGTTTGACTTTGGTAGAATTTTCAGGGATTTTTTTTTGGTAAGTGGAATCTCCTTGATTGGTTTTTTTTTTACGGATTTCTTTTTTTTTTTTTTTTTCTTCTCAGTTAGGAATAATCAGAGGATATTAGCTTCAACTTTTTTCCTAAGAAGTAATGTTAAGGCCTACTGGCAATAAAAAGCTAATGTCTGTTTTCAATTAATGATATGTTTCACTGAGATCATACCGAATATATCAGGGATTAACTAAAAATTAAAATCAGTTGGGACTTGTGGCATCAGCAAACTAAGCCTGGGAAAACTGAGTTTGCTTTCAGATAGGCAATTACGGTATTTTTAGCAAGATATTCTAATATGGTCTTTTGAAATTGGTCATAGTGATAGAATTGGAGCTGGAATGTATAATGGGCAATTGCTATTCGTATTTGTCCTTGTGTTCATGGCTTAAAGTGAAAGATTATCACAGTCTCCCAAGTACTAGGAGAATATTCTTCTGTCTCTGACTCCAAGAATATTGAAGAATGTTTTCGTTCAGTAAACTCAAAGTTAGGGCCTTCCCACTGTGTTTCTCCTTAACAAAAGTGTGTTGTTAATTTTTTTAAAAGATATTAAATATTGTAATCTCATGGCACTAGGTAGCTTGAGCAGTCTTTTTGCATTAAACTAGAGTTCTTGAACGAATAAGAAACAAAGCAAACTGTCCTTCCTGAAAGGATTTTTAAACAGTGGTGCCCCTGTAGTTACAAGAAATGTGTTACAGTTGTAATTACGGAAGCTATGACATGTAACATTGTTCCTGCATTTAATAGAATGTGATGAGGTTTTTTTATAAAATCTTCTGATTTTTAGTACAATAATATTTTATAAAAGTCTAATTTGAAATGTAAATTGCATAGCTCTCTAATGGGTGCTTGGTAAATGCACAAGAGATTTAGCTTTGATTCTCAGGTACCTCTGATGTAATGGAGACATGCTGGGTTTTTCTTCCTCATGACACAACTGGAATGTGAAGGAGCTCTCTCATAAATGCTTTAGCTCTGTGTGCTAGCATAAATTGTCATTGCTCTTACTGTTTCAATTTGGGAATGTCTTTATTCTGACTTATTTCTTACAGGAAGCATATACACTTAAAAATTCTTTTTTTTTTCATCTCAAGCATTTCTTTGAATGTCATTAGATGCTTAAGGAACAGTGATTTCCCATGCCTACAAAATGGAAAATGAATACTACATGTGTCGATCTGTCAAACAGTTGAACTAATTCCTGTAATCCTATGAGACAGTCAACAATTTATTCTGTGTGTGATTGAGGTTTTGGATTTTATATTTGGAGGAAATTATGATAATTTGCCAAATGCCATGTAGCATGCCTTTATTTTTAAGGTTTTGGTGTGCTTTTGGGTTTTGGTGAGTTTTGCATAGTTTGAGGTACTGTGTACTGCACTCCAGAACAAGGGGAGAAAAGGTTTTCTGTTTTTCTGGCTGCTTTCTGTTAGGTTTCAGTCATGCTGAAAATGTGTTCACTACAAGGGGCTGCTGTAGATGTAAAACTAGTTCAGCAAAGGACTGAAATACACATGACATCAGTACTCAACAATTACTTAGAAAGTACAGGGTACATGAATGCTATTCAAGACACTGAGGGCCCAATGTTTCTGTTGCCCAGTGTGCGCTGCATCTTGCCTGTTGGCTTGTTGCCTGTGGAAATCCATGTAAGGGGTTGGGAGCCGTAGTATATGACTGATTCAGCTTGTCATGAAGTTGGGCTAGAGTGGGCTACAGACTGGAACTCAAAAGCAGGGAGGCTAAGGCACTGCCTGGCTATCTCACTGTGGTATTCCAAATGCTGAAGTTTTTTTGCAGAAATACAGTGTTAAGCAGTGGTATTCTTCAAATGACAAACCATGGTGCTGATGGGATACTTGACGTGGTATGCTGGTATATGCATTGCATACCTTCTTGTAATGCACTAGCAAAAATGGGAGAGCCTGCAAATTACTTTTCTTGGTGTGTGCTGTTGTAATTGTCATTCTCTTTCACGATCCCCATTGTGCTGAGGTACTGCTATTCACAACTATGATTGCTTTAAATAAGGCAGTAAAACGATTTCTTTGTAATTCTTGGTTCCATCTCTCTTTGTGTTGAACGTTATCATTCCTATTCCTTACTAAAAGAGCTTCCTATCTTAGGGAAATTAAGTTACTGAGCTAAAGTAAGCTATCGGAGAAGGGGTAGAAAACCAGTTAAATTTTTGACATAGGATGAGTTTATGGACACGCTTCCAAATTTTATATGAAAATAGGCCTCAGTAAGGCAGAGTGTTTGTATGTTTGTAAATGAAGTTAAGCAGTAGCATACTTAAAAATCAAGAAACAGAAACTGATGTTAATATTTCAATGTTGAGTTATTTGGCTAACTATAGGATGGTACTTTTAATCAGATTTCTTTATTTGGGATAAGTTTTTAGTTAATTACTGTTTCTGTTATGACTGTCATATGTAGTGTCTGCAATTCAATAGTTATAAGTGCAGTAGCATTTAAGTGTTGGTTCATAAACAGTTGTTATGCATGACTTTTATTTTTTCCTATCTAATCCAGGATTGCATTAATGCTGTATTTTGATTTATGTGGTTATAGCAGGGCACGGTTTCTCAGGGAAATATGGATGATACCATGCGTTGTGAGAACTGATAATGAATTCTTGCTTTTAAAACTGTTACAAATATTTTCAGGTTTCACTCAAACATTTCACATCACATAACTTCCATGTTGAATTTCCTTAGGTTTATCAGGTAAATCACGATGAGAATGTTAAGAGCATTTAAAGGTGTGAATAAAGTACACTCTACCCAACACTTTGTTACTTTTTGGACAAATTCTAAATTGATGCTGCATTTTGTATGTGGTTTTTCTACTTTATTGTACTATGCGCCATATAAATTTATCATTGCACTGCTGATTTCGAAGCTGGACATACAGCAGGACAGTGACATTAGCTTTCAGGGTTAGGCAGTGCTATAGTAATACATAATCTGATTCTGGGCTAGAGTACCAGTATAAATCTTCTAACATATATATATTCATTAATGTCATTAAATTTTTACAAAGTCTGTTCACTTTGGGGATTTTTGTTTATTTTTCCAGTAAAGTTACTCTGGCTAGACTGGGATTTGATCCAAAGCCCATGAGAGTCATAGACAGCATTAATAAAGTAGAACTTTATTGAAAAGAAACTCCGCAGTCAGGTTGACCTTTATGCCTTTGCAGTATTTCTGTCTGCAGCATACATTTGGAGTAGTTAGCTTTAAGACTTCAGTAATACAAATTTGAGGGATTTTAGTGCTGGTAAAAAGGATAAACATACCACTGTAACTAGTTACAAAAAATATTTTCCTATAGGCAGCATGCACCTTAATAATTATTATTAAAGACAAACTTGTCTTGCTACATGACTTTTTTGTTTTTTAAATCAGCAGTATAAGAAATGTTAACCACTTCACCTGGTTGTATACTTCCAGGAGAATTTTCTGTCAATAGTGAGAATATGTGATCATAGTCATCATAGCCTCGAGGATCAACTTCCTCTTGATGATTTCTCATTTGATGTTTCCATTTCTGTTTACATTCACTTTGCAAAGAAGGCAACAGGGCATTTCTTCTCTAGGTAAGGCTACCGGAATTGTATTTTGACTATATTGTTAGAAATCTAACAGAAAACATAAATCTAACATCTAAATGTGACTCTGCTTAGTTATCTGTGTTCTCGCTCTTCTCCAAGGTAAAACATTGCATCATTACATCTGGTATTAGCAGGTAACCCATCTTTTTTCTGGTATGCCTACACTGATGTGGAATGCATCCAAAACATCATCTAGTTTTTACTTCCTACTTTTTAAAGCCATAAAAGGCTTTTCTCTGAGAATTT